ACGAAAAGAAGAAATCGGTGAGAGATTTACAAAGTCAGATAAACTTTTGAACAATCGTTGAATTCTCTTAAAATAAATTATTTGAAGGTTCGTCGAGCTTTTCCATTTTGTGAAAATCGTCATCGCTCTTCGTCTTTTTGCCGGTTTTTTTACTTACAAGAAGAATCTTTTAATTTCACTTCAGCGGTTGGATCGTTTGGATTAAAAATGACGAAGGTCACGTCCGAGACAAAGAAAGAGAGAGAGAGACAGAGAGAGAGAGAGAGAGAGAGAGAGAGAGAGAGAGAGAGAGAAAGACATTTCTTTCATTTAAGTTCCTTTGGTTCAACAAAGAAAATTGTATTTAAAAAATGCAAAGCAGCAGAAAAACTTAGCTCCCGTTTGTTCCCTCTCGTAAAAGAATTCGCTCATTTTGATAGAAGAATATAAAGAAAAGGAAGCGGAACGAACAAGAGAGACAGAAGGAGAAAGAATAAGGAGGAGATGGTTTGATCCATGCAGCAGTTCAAAGCTTAATTACATTTGGTCAAAGTAGCCGGCACTTTATTTGGAGTTGGTACTCTTTTTTCGTTTTCAAGTTAGAAAGAAAGAAACCAAGAAAGAAAGAAAGAAAGAAAGAAAGAAAGAAAGAAAGAAAGAGAGAAAGAAAGAAAGAATAGAAAGAAAGGAAAGAAAGAGAAAGGAAGTTCGAGTATTCTGAACTTTCTTTTCTCATTCATTTCAAAGAACCTCTTTTCCTCTCTCTCTCTCTCTCTCTCTCTCTCTCTCTCTCTCTCTCTTTTCTTTCCTTTTGTTTCATTGCTCTTAATGTTATAAATAAGTTTGTATCTTTCCCTTTTGTTAGAAGTTGCTCTTGCATAATAACACTAATGAAAGATTAGACACTTTTCTAAAATGTTCGAAGGAGAATTGATCCATAAAGAAATCTTTTGTCGGAGATGGAATAATGAGAAGAAACTTTTTAATGAAATTTTAGAATCTTCACGATCACGTATAAATCTGTAAATGAAATTGTGAATAAAAAAAATTTATTCGTTTTAAAACAATCGATCATGGATATTTTCGAAAAATGATAAGAGATAAAACGCGATATTTGTTGTTTACACTATGTATACGTACATACATATATATTTAGAAAAACAAAGTCAGAACGAGGTAAAACAGTTATATTGTCTCCCGAGTGTTGCAGAATTATTCTGTCTGTTAGCCTATTTCTCGTTTCTTGTGATCTTCCAGCCGTGTATTCATCGTTTCCAAGTTCCCTCGTAAAACGGCACACGTTTTTTTCCAGCCACGTAATCACACCCCCTCTTTTCCTTCGTTACCGACGTTGACTCGATTACACAACGATTTTTCGCCACCCCTACGTTTTCACCAACCCTCTTCTTTCTATTTTTACACCCTCTTTCATACGACACACACTCTCTTTCTATCTCCCTCTCTCTCTCTCTCTCTCTCTCTCTCTTTCTCTGTCTTTCTTTTTCTCTCAGTTCTCGTTTCAGCAATCGAAATAATGAGGATCGTTATTTCGCTTATTTGTTGAGTTCACAGATGCGAAAGCTAAAAAACGTAACACCAGTGCTCCCCTTCAATTTTTGTCTTTTATTTTGGATTTTATTCTACGATTTCTTTTGTCTGTTGCATTTTATGACTACCATTATGTTATTTTCAATTTTTTTTTCTTTTTTTGTTTTAATATCAAACAATAAAAGAATTCAGAATGCATTGAAATACTTCACATGGTAAAGGATCGATTGAATTTTGTATGATTTAAAATAATTCGACATTTTCGTAAGTCAGCCATTTTCGAATATCAATAGAAAATGATTCTCATTATTGTTGAGTAAAAACGATCGCACCTGTTCTCCGAATGAATCTCAACGTTTATAACATTTTCCAATTTTCTACAATGTTAAAGAGAGTCTATCTGGAAGCCACGAGAATAACAATTCTCTATTTCTAAAGACAATAGTAATACGAGTTGGTGTTAGGGATAATAACAATGGCCATTTCTAACTTGAATGCGTCAGAGAATGAGAGTGAAAGAGATAGAGATAGATAGATAAAGAGGGAGAGAGAATGAGAGAGAAAATGAGAGAGATAGAGAGGGGTATGATACGATACGATACACGCCGGAAATTGGCAAATTTGAATTTGCGAAAATAGGCAGAGGAAATTTCGCATAACGTTGGCGCCATGTCTGACGGCGAGAGCCGTCGTTTGCCATTTCGATGCAAATGACACGGATAGAAGAGGTCCTTTCCACCAGCTCGATTGCACTAACCCATAGACATGTACAAATAAACACATATAGAGATATGCACTAATACAGGAGAGAAAACTTCGTAGTACTTCTGATCTTCTCGCTAACGCGAATCGCGTATTATAGCAATGAGAATGCTTTTAAAAGAGTGAAAGAGACAGACAGAGGCAAAGAGAAAGCGAGAGAGAAAGAGAGAAAGAGAAAGAAAAAGAAAGGTCTTTATGAAAATATTCGAGGTCCAACTGGTAGTGTCGTGTTTTTACCATTATGTCTGTCCATAAACGGTTTGTACCACTGTCGAGAAACGACTAGGCCCGCGATAAAATGCTTCTCTCTACCTCTTTCTACTTTGTCCTTTTCATTTTTCTTTTATTGTATTTCTTTCTTTTTTTCTTTCTTCCTTTCTTTCTTTTTTATTTTTAAGATTATTTCGTAAGGTTAAAAGGATGCTTGTAAATTTTTTTTTTTTTTAATTCGATCGATTCAATATTATTACAAAAATCTTAAGGACAATAATTCGAATATCTTTAAGATGTGCATGGAAACTTTTTATTGAAAATAATTTGTCTTTAATCAATCCATAGATAATTGAATAAATATTGATTATTTTACCATTTAATTTTCATCTGTTTATTGGTCATTAATTGAGTAATCCTTTTATATCGATAAAATAATATTTTGGGATTTTGATTGAATTACAAGTTACAGGTTCCAAAGGGTCAATGATCCTAAATCCCTTGTAATCGAGGATGAGATTAGTGTTCTAATATTTAAGAGATGCATGGATATGCATAGTGTCTCATGACAACCGGAAATGGTTGACATAAAATTCGCTCCTTCCTCTCTCTCGCTCTCTCTCTCTCTCTCTCTCATTCTCTATTCGTTTGTCTAATTTATGTGTCTGAGTATTACTTCTCTTATGTATTACGTGGAGAAAGACAGAGAGAGAGAGAGAGAGAGAGAGAGAGAAATAATATCTGTAAGAATTTAGCCCTGTAATATTAGTAGTAGCAATTCCTCTTTGCTTGCAATTTCCTAAATTTTTTCTTCTTTCTTTCTTTTTTTTTTTTTTCATTTTTTGTTTTGTTTTTACACAAGACAACTAATAATAATTTTCTTTTTCCTTCTTTCTTCTCTTTTTTCTTTTTTTTATCTCGTCTTGACCTAAAAAAAAGTTCGTCATGATTCGAAACTTTTTAATTCCCATATTTCATATGTATATATCGTTTCAATTAAAATGAAAATCATACTTTTTTTCGTATTACGAAAGAAAAATTCACAAAGGATTAAATTTTTCGTATTTTCTCTTCCTGTTAGCTAGCTCGTACTGAGCAGTTCTATTCTTTACGACGAGAAGAGCACGGAAGCAATAAGGATCTCCAATGTTCAGAAGGAAGTTTCGAGTGGTGGTAGAGAAGGACATAAAAAAAGAGAGTGAGAGTGAGAGTGAGAGAGAGAGAGAGAGAGAGAGAGAGAGATAAAGAGAGTAAGAAAAAAGAAGATAAAGATTTTTCTCGCTTCCATCGCGGAAAGGGCGTCGAAAAAGAGTAATAAGGAGAACACATACCCCTCTTCATCTTCTCTCTCTCTCTCTCTCTCTTTCTCTCATTCTCATCCTTAAAGAACTACGATTGCGGCATCCTTGAGAACAACGTCGAAAGAAAAGGAAGCTGGGATCGACTTAACGACATCGCGTTTCCAAGGACGAAGGATTTTATCGCCGTCGAAAAAATGGCTTCCCTTGGAGTACCGAACGAGCTAACCTTCCTTCCTTTCTTTTTTTTTTCTTTTTTTTTTTACGGATTTCCAAGATTTATTTCCTCCTTCCCCATTCTCTTTCACGCCGTTTGCTCGTTCATATAATGTTGTTAACGGATTCGTTTTTATTTTTCATGTCATAAAATTATAGAAAAGAATTTAATTTCCTTCGAAATGAAATAGATTTAACAATAGATTCTTTAACAATAGATTTTTTTTTATCCTTTTCCCTACTGTTAGAATGACTTAATAATTCCTTTTTTTTTAATCTTTTATATTTTTTTTATTGATAGGTGATCCTCCAGCTTCAGTTTCATAAATAAAGAGCGAGAGAGAGAGAGAGAGGGGGAGAGAGCGAAAGAAAATCTCTCTTTAATCTGACTTTGGTTTTACCATTAATGCTGCCAGGATGCATTCTTATAAGACAAAGATTTATTTTCTCCATTGTTGATATCATAGAAAAAGGTTATTACATCTTGAACCCTCACCTCTAACTCGAGAGATACAACCAAGCGTAAATATCGTCATACGTATTTCACAATCTGAAAGTAATATTTCAAAATTCCTTGATATTGGGTGAGGGAGAATACTTTTCTTTTTTTTGCACTTTTTTGCGTTCTCGAAAAAGAGATCGTTTGTTTCTTATTTATTAATTTTTTCTTCTTTTTTCTTTTTTTTCTATTTTCATCTTTCCGCTTTTTGCTTTCAAACCTTTAGTCGATTCCATGTTATGCAAGAGAAAAGAATGGAAACTCTCCGTCTTCTTTCATTTTCAGATTTCGCTTCAATATTTTACTTTGATCCTTTGTAAAATGGATAAATCGAATTTTGACTCGATTTGTTTCTTGAAAAATATGAAAGAGAAACGAAATTTGTTTTCACTAGTATTATTTAAATCGTTAAATTTTTATCGTTTAATTCGTTTAACCTAAGAATAATTATATTAAAAATGTGTATTCTACATTTATTTAAGACTCACCTTCGATCAATTGATCCAACATAGCATAAATGTGAGAAGTTGCCTCGTCCGTCATCACCCACCCTCCCGTAGTCATTTCTAGACGTCCATCCTTGACCAATCTCTTTATGACCGCCTTCTTCGTAGGATGAGCACTGTATTTGGAATAAAAGAGAAAAGAAATAAATATAGCAGACATCTTTGTAATAAAACAACCAAAGTAATCGATCGACAAACAAAATATAAGAATATTTATTAATCTTCATTATTATATGGTAATAATAAAAAAAAAAAATATAGAATAATTTAGTGAGTATTTCTTTTTCTTTTTCTTCGATACATCGTCGATTTAATCGATATCCAAAGGAAAAAAAAAATTAGTATTAATAATTATATTTATATTAATTGTTAGTAAAGTTTGTTTTAAAAAATAAACGATAAAATTTTTCCAATTTTAAAATGTTTGAAAATTGGATTATATATATATGTATATGAAATATGAAATCAAGTCGTTCCAATCGCAAGATCCATTTCATTTGAATATACATAGAGAATATATATTTATTAAACAATATCAAAATCTACTATTTAAAAACAAAACAAAAAACCGATATTCCTTCGTATATACGAGAACAAGAGAGAAAATTTATACACGTTATTAAGTCACTGTAGGTTATTTCATATCCTATCCCTTCCTCCTTCCTTCTATTTCTTTCTCTCTCTCTTTTTCTCCGTCTCTCGTTCTCTTTCTCACGCTCATGCTCGATGGCCTCCAGCATGAACTAGAAGGTCAGATGCTTACGACTAACCCGAGGGATCCCTTTCGTGTTCCAGGATATCCTTTCTTCCCTATCGCTAGCGAGAACGACATCAGCTGTACTCTCGGCAAGAGGCAATTCACAAAGGAAAAGAGAAGAGAAAGAAGAAGAGAAAAGAGAATAAAAGAAAAGGGAGAAAAAATGGTGAACGTTCTCTACTTTCCGATCATTCTTTATCTTTTATGCTTCTACTATTTCTTTGTTTTCATCCGGTCATTTTCTTTCTCCCTGTCTTTCTCTATACTTTCCATTTCTATCTCTATCTCTCCTTATTTTATATCTATGCATCTCTCTTTCTCTCGATCATTAAAAAATAAAAGATCCCTTTTTCGCCACTTTCGGCGTCTTAAACAGCCACTCAAAAAGCCCCTCTCATTCTTCGTATTATATATCTTTCTTTTAATGGCTAAAGGCTTTACGACGAAGCTTCTTCGAGGCATTACTCGTTCCTTACTGTTCTACCAACCATATTGTCTATATAAATACAGACTTAAAGATGCGTACTTTAAGATATTTCATCCATTACTATCTTTGGATATCCTTTACCACTGTTATAACAATGTTCTTCGAACGTGCGAGTTCAACGTACTTTTACGTACGCACACACACACACACACACACACACACACACATATATATATACATATATATTAATATAAAATATATTATAAATATTATCATGTAAATCATATCATAAACATGTAATATATATATATATATATATTTTCTCTATTAGATCTAACTAGAACTTTGAGAAAAAGAAAAACAGTCAGACCTATTAGAAATAATATATAAATAAATGATCCTTCGATGTAACCTTTTCATCTTTCAGGAAATTCATTTTGATGGGCATACGACGATACGTACGTGTGTTTATATTATCAATACAAATAACAGATATCCTTCTATCTTCGTCACGCAAGTATCCTCGACCTTTTGTATTTACTACTACGTACTGGTGATACTGTTAACAGAACTGTTAGTGGTGGTAGTGATGATGCCAGTTGCGATCCAGGAATCCGGTTAGCGGCATGGCGGTCGCCTTATCAGTGGTAGTTCAGAGCCTTGAGCATTTAGCCGAGACGACGTCGGATTATCGGAGAAGCTCTCTAACAGCGTAATCATGTTTACGCATACAGGATGATTTCTTGGGGAAATCTCTCTCTCTCTCTCTCTCTCCTTCTCTCTCCCTCTTGCTTTATCTCTTTATACTATGTATAGGGTAGTGTATATAGCTTCGTGTAGGTACATAGAGGGAACTGGAAGCAAGAGCTTTTAGCGTCGGGATGTCTGGCCATTTTCGAGGATACCTTCGAAGTGTGTTAAGAGAGTTTGAAAGCTTCGGAGAGCCTGCCTGAGGAGATCTATTTTCTACTAAGCCTTTCTCTCTCTCTCTCTCTCTCTCTCTCTCTCTATCTATCTATCTATCTCTCTCACTCATTCTCTCTCTCATTCTCTCTGTATTTCGTTGTATCGACATATCAAGTTGAAAGTTAGCTCCTATCGATCGTTTTCAAGCATCATTTTATTCGTTATTAAAATTTAAAAGTTATTTTCTTCTTACCTGTCCCACCAAAGTGATAAAAAGGACACTTCGCTCCAGATAAACGTCATGTTTGGCCATTGTTGTAATTTCGAGACCATGTTGTTTAATATACTCCTCGTCGAACTGTGGAAATATTGCTCGAATGTCTTTAGCCATCCTGGATCTGTATGACTATGTGGCACCAAGATAACCTAAAAACGATATAGACAATTTTATATTTTTGCTTTTCTATTATTTTACAACAACAATTACAGTTATATTCGTGTTTTTGAAATTATTGTTAAGATATATACCATTAATTCCTATTTCGATAATAAATAAAAGAATCGTTGGAATAATTACGTTTAATCCAACCATATTGAACATAGAAAAACTATAAAATAGAGCGCGGAGGACAATCGCAAAGCTAGGTGCGTACAACATTCGACGAATCTGATTAATGCGATTCTCTCGGTTTAATCCGTTGTGTTTTCGTCGAGCTATCGGTGGCAGTGAGCAGCAACACAAGGATTATTTACAAACGTTCGATATCAGCGTTCTAATCCCAAGCTTTGGAACGATTCTCGTTAATCAGGGTCTTTTGCGTTGGTTTGTAACCAGTTTACAGGTAGCAGTGATTCTCAGATATGTTTAATTTCTATCGTAATAAATATCGTATATGTTATTATACGATACGGAATAAATGTCATTGATTTCTTTAGTTTCACGGGGAAGGAAGTAAATTTTGTCCATGTATATTAATTTATTTTACAAAAGAATTCGAGATATGTACGAAACGTAAAAGTATAACAAGAAGAGAAGAGCGAAGAAATAAGAGATAAACAAGTTTTTCGAATTTCGAAATTCGTGACTTGAATGTTTTCTCGTTTCTTTCTATTATTTTTCCTCTTTTTTACTTTTGAAAGGAGAGTTTCGAACGTAGAGCAAGAGATATAACGACCATTAACCGACGTCCAATCCTCTCTCTTTCTATCTCTCTTTTTCTCTCTCTCTCTCTCTTTCTCTCTCTTTCTCTCTCTTTCTCTCTTACTTCGACAGCAATGAACGTGAAAAGCGACGTGGTATACACAAAAAAAGGGAGAGAGAGAGAGAGAAAGAGCAAGTGGCGTCGCGACCAGCTCGAAATTTTCGCGGAGATTTCGAATTGGCAGCCGCTGATCGAATTCGTTCGGCTTAATTCGATTCCACGTTCACCGTGCGGACAAATTGAATGGCCATTTCGTACGAAACTCTCTCTCTCTTTCCCCCTTCTATCTCCCCCTCTTCTCCCACCTATCCTTCTCTTCTCATTCGTCCACTTCGATACCAGTCCACTCTTTTTATTTCTTTCTCTCATTTTCGGAAAATGAAATTCTCGTTAACAAAAGCTCTCTCCTGTAGTCGTAGATATTTCGTATTCTCATTTCCCCATTTAAAGTATTTTTCTTATAATTCGTTCTTCATGTCTACGTATTCCTACGTATATCCATTTATTTCGTATCGCAACACTTGGACATTTATTTCCTTTTTTATTTACCTTCTTCTTTTTCTCCCCTTTATCGATAGTAATAAGTAATTTTGTAAGAAAATAAGTATTTGATACGTAGGTTTAAATAATCGAGTTGATTTTGGTTGGAGGATTAAACGAATTTAAAAATGAATGGAAACAATTGTAACAAAATTAAGATCGAACGATTCGTATCGAATATTAGACACTTGGAAAATATCCATTCGAAATCATCGGGATGATTCTCATCTGGCTAATCCCGAGAAATATGTCGACCGATTGACAATATCGTTAGGCATGAGAACCCTCGTTGCAAAGGATTTCAGTAAACCGATATCCATTCGCTCATAATCAACGTGGAAGCTGCAGCACGCTAAGCCGCGCATAGTTTACGAACGAATCCGCATTGTGTATCATATAGACATGCGCTTGCGTTGTATATTTCTCTATGCATGTACGTGCACATCTATATGAAACTCGGACTTTCGAGAGAAGTTTAACATTCAAACTGTAGTTATATGATACGCTCTCTGGTAATACTGATAGTATTAGAAAAAAGTTGAATGACCATTGGATGACAATAACAAACATAAATTTCATTGAATAATAATAAATTTTAATGAATCCAACAAATAAATTTCATTTTATTTTAAACAATCAAGTTTGAATTGTGCCGACTCGTACGTGTCCTTCATTTTTCTTTTTTTCATTTCTATCTACCCTACGATGTATTATTGTTTATAGATATTATTGATCGATGACAATGGAACGATAATTCGTTTATTTCGAGGAAATTAGTATATTTGCTAAATAAATGAACATTTTCAAGCCCAATTATTATCAAGGAAACAACAACTTCATTATAGGTATGTGTACTATAGTTGTGTTAATTGGTTAAGGCCCGTGTCCTGACACGCTTAATAAGTCAGGTCTAGGATACGTAAAGGAAGACGCCTAGTGTGGAGGATAGACTGCGTAAAAGGATGAAGAGAGAGAGAGAGAGAGAGAGAGAGAGAAGGATTGGTGTATATACGTGTTGAGCTTATTGGTATGCATGAGCCAGCCGTGGTGCAGGGTCGTAGTAGCCCTTTAATACACCTTCAGCTCTTTGCCCTCGGCTACCTTTCTCCTCTAACCTTCCTAAACATAGAAGAGATTCTCTTTCTCTCTTGCCTGTTTAACCTCAGTCCATCTCTTTCTCTTTCTCGGCTCGTTGCTTTCTCATCGCGCTTACCGTAACTTTCCTGCTATTCAACGGAATCACTATTATTGGCCTTAACCGTTATGGAAACCGCGTGTAATAACACAAACCTTGATATCGGAATTTCGAAAAGCAACCCTCTCAAAGACCCTCGTTTACAAAAGAGATTCTCTTAAGCGAGAACGTTAGAATACACAATGAAACGTTAACTCACGTGAAATTATTTTTCATCATTGGAGATTTATATGTTAATTAATTTTTCATATTACGACAACATCACCGAATAATAATTTATTTTAACCTTTCAATTACATGTCCCAAGCGATTTATTAATAATTAATTCCCTCAATCATTATAATAACAAAGTAATTAAAAGTTTTTCAGTTTACTTTAACGTCTAATTTAATTATCACGTGTTACACGATACTTTTTGAAATCGTCTCTGCGAACAGTCTCTTTCTCTCTCTACGAATCCTGTTATTCGATAGCAACTGAGATCCATCTAATTAAATCTCATCGCAAGTTTATTTTATTTGCCCTCGAGGATGAATATATTTTCTTTTCGACGTTTAATTCCAGGGACAATGGAAACGTCGATATTGTGCGCATGCGATATATATGTGTGTGTGTGTGTGTGTGTGTGTGTGTGTGTTCCTCTCCCTCTTCCCAATAAATTCGAAACAGTTTTACTTTGTTACGAGTTTTACGAACCCCTCTTTCTTTACTTCTTCTGAAAAAATGATTTTATTATATCTCGTTCTGTTTTTCTTTATCTTTCCTATTTCTTTTTTTAAACCCACCTATACGTAACTTTTCTTTAGAACGTTTTTCAAAAATAATCATGTATGAAATAACGTCGAATATATTTTTTTATTTCATTTTTATATTTATCACAAGTTTACTCGTGAAACGCTTTATATTTTTTTCCACTTCCATTTCATCCCAACGTTGGATAGATGATGCCGGGTATAATAATGAAGTAGATATAACGTTAAAGTAAACACAGATATACCGTAGACGTATAACGTCTTATTCACGGAAATGTTACAGGGTGAAAGAGAGAAGGAACACTTTCTTCTTCTTCCTCCTGCTCTCTTCTTCTTCTTCTTCTTCTTCTTCTTCTTCTTTCTCTTCTTATACAAGGTTCGTTCGGCTTTTATATCGCACACGTCTTGACATCGTAAATATACCAATATTCCCCAATCTTCTTTAACAAGGTTATTCGTTGCCATAATTCGGACATTGAAGGATATAATATACACTAACCGAAGAAAGTATTCGTACAGCAAGGAAATTATAAAATTGTACAAAAACGATAAATTGTACATCAATGATTTTGTTTTCAATGGACCTTTTACAATATTTAAAGTTTCTATTAATTGATAGTAAATATATGATTATAAAATTAAAGCTTATATACTATAATTTATCAATTTAAGTTTAATAGTAATTCGTAAGCCTATAATTTTGGACGATAGTCATTATCAGATTCATTGATAAACACAATAATCAAGTTCGAACTATGGACTTTCGTACTAATTTTTATTTTTATAAAGAAATTTATGATTTGTATTATATAATATTTTAATTTGCAAATATCTGACGAAATGATAATGATATCGTTTTATCAGAAAGAAAAATCATTATAAATTTGTTTTAATAAAAATAAATCTTCTGTTAGAAATTGTAAAAATTTGTGCAAATAAGTCAACTTCAGATAGTTCAGGGTATAATTAACAGATTAAATGTGCATACTTTCGTGTATCGGTGCATAAAAAAAATGCAAGTGCACTTTTTTCTTTTTTTTTTTTTTTTTTTTTTTTTAATAGAAGCCTATATCTTTGACTACGCCAGTTGACGGAATTTTTTTTATGCTCTATATAAAAATATTAATTTACTTATACCTTAAACTTATGCGCTAGAAAGTTAAAAGTTACAAAAAGTTAAAAGTTTTCTGAATTATTTAGATATGTTGATATAGTGTTAACGAACGGATAATATCACGGATAATCTTAATTAAACATTAATATCATGGTAAATCTTAATTTTACATTAATATTAACGATTAATATTAATTCATGTTTATCGAAATAATATTAGAAAACTTTTAGTTTTAAAAATTAATTAAATAGTACTAAACTATTATAGTACTAACTAATAATACTTTCATTCGCAATTGTATTTTCAAGAAAATACGTTCTTTATATGCGCATAAATAACTATCTATCTAGCCGATAACCATCTAATCATTTTTTCTTTCTTTTTTTTTTTCCCTAATATATTCTCGATGTAATTCGTTCTGAAACGAGCGTAAATTTTTATAAAAACGAAATTGTTCTATCAGCAGATAAAAAACTACATACATTTACATCCCTTTAATTACACACATCGACGATTACGCGACAAAATCGCGATAACAAACGCTTCATCGATTATCCCATTCATTGTGAACGAAACGCGATTATTAAAACGTTTTTGTGGAATTTTGTCCATATAAAAAATCCAAAAGAGAGAGAGAGAGAGAGAGAGAAAAAGCATCCGAAGCTATTGTTTGTTCGGGTCAACGAAGTCATGAAATTTAACAGGAGGCTACAAGGCTGCTGGAATATTTATCGTATGTCCGTGTATGTACATTACACCGCTTTAAAACGTACAATGAGGACAGTAGGGGTAGCAGGGGAGGGGTAAAGGTTTGTTTTTCTACGTGTGTTCGGAGAGGATGAAAAAGAAAAATAACGCACCGCCGACGCGCGTCGGTGTAATGGATTGTGTACGGAGATAAACATTTCCAGCGTCGCTTGCTCACCCACAGGGTTTTTCAACGAGGAATAACGAAATACACACGTTATTTCTATGTATGTAGATATATACGTATTTTTTTTGTCGTTTCTTTTTTCTTTTTTTTCGTTTTTTTTTTGTTTTCTTTTTTTTCTTTTTTTTCTTTTTTTTTTTTTTTTTTCCTTCTCTTTTTATACGTACGTATTATCTATGTATACACTGTGTACGTATGTATTGTACGTATGTACGCGCAGATACGTACAAACGTTAAGCTTCGAGTGTGTAACACGCGTTACGTGTATCGTTGTATAGAACAATTAAATGCAATTAATTTTCTTTATGAAGTGGAGACATTGAAATTAGAAATGAAACATTGAGTTAGATAGAATTGTAACTTTAATAATCTAATAATGATATCTTTTAAAATATATTCGAATGTTGAAATATGAAAGAATTGGCTTATAATAGAGAAGTTTTTCTTTTTCTATGTGATTGGAATTGATGAAAGAAAAAAAAAAAGAAGAAAAAAAAAACAGAGTGAAATTAAAAAAGAAGAAAATTGAAAAAAGAATTGAAAGAAATTTAAGAAGAATATAAGTTAAAACATGAGAAACATAAAATTAGTTATAATAACTAATTTGCTTTTTCAAGCAACCCATCATAAAATTACGAGCTTTGGATTAAAGTTATTTGGTCCGTATCCAAAGATCTTCTCTTATTACATTTTACAATAATTTTAGTTAAAGGAGACGTGAAAGAACGAGAAAATCATCTTATCACCGACAGATAATCTAATTTGTAGACGGGTCATACGTTCCTATAATTACTTTATATAAATTATCTTTGTATAAATCGGGAATATCACGAGGAGAAGCCACAATTTTGCTAGCATTTTGATATCCGTGTTTGAGTCATAATTATCAGGATTACGAGTTCCTTAATTAGAACGGAAGACAAGAAGAAGTACGGATGATAATACAAAAGTACGAAAGATTATTCTGTATCTCGTTGGATGGAAAATCTCGTTTATTATTGGGTGATTTATTATGATAAAAAAAAAAAAAAAAAATAAAAATAAAAAACGAAAGATTTTTAATAAAATAAAAAATTATTTCAATTTTTTAACATTCTATCTAACCAAATTATTTTGTTTTTCTTTTTTTTACAATTATACTATCCTTAACAGAATTTGTTTATCATAAAATGAAAATCACGCTTATTTGCAAGATGACTTAATTTAATCAAAAAATAAAAAAAAAAAAAAAAGGAAAAAGATAATAGTAAAAAATTAAAATAATTTTTAAACATCGAGTCTACTATTCGATACTTTGTTTTTCCTTATCTTCTTCTTCTTCTTTTTCCTTTTTATTATTATACTACCATCAATGAATTTTATCACAATATCTTATCTGTATCAATGTTTCGTAGCAATAATTTTACAAACTCGTAATGTATTTTCGGATTAAAATGAGTTATCCTGTGCGAAAGCAGTCCCATGAGATTATTTGTTTTTCATCTTTTTGATGGTAGGAACAATCAGATAAAAGGATAAACGAATATATAGAAAGAGAGATAGAGAGAGAGAAAAAGAGATCGATTGGATAGAATGGTTTCGTATAAAATCTCTTATTTAAATAATATCATCGTCGAAGAATGAACGAAAGGAAGAAACGGAAAAAGGTCGATAGTTTTACTTATGGAGGGAGAGGGAGGGTTGGTGGTAGCGGTGTCAGCTGGCTCGAACTGTCGGACATTGGTGGCAGCTGATAAGCGCAATTTCGTCGACGCGTTAACGCATTCCGTGCACGATGCTCCGTGGTTTTCAACAGAAGAGACGACGGAATGGAAGGAAGAGATGACATAAACGAGAAGAAAGAAGAGAGATAGACAGATAAAGAGAGAAAGAAAGAGAGAGAGAGAGAGAGAGAGAATAAGAGGGGGGGAGGGGATTTAAATGGAAGGTGCATCGGATGCATTCCGTTCCAAAATCGTGGACATGCGCGCTATTGTCGTGAACGTTTTCGAAAGGGCTACCGCCCACCATTGTATTTCGACGACAATAGCCTGATGAGCCGGTATTGTCGAACTTGTCAAACTCTGTTTGCACTGATCTTGTGAAAGAGAGAGAAAGAGAGAGAAAGAGAGAGAAAGAAAAAGAGAGAGAGAGAAGAAAGAAAATGGGAAGTGAATGTCTCGTGTCACGTTTGTTCTTCGTAAGAATCAAAGCGAGAGAGGAAGAGAGAGAGAGAGAGAGAGAGAGAGAGAGAGAGAGAGAGAGGGAGAGAGAGAGAGAGAGAGATGAATTGACCAAATCCTTCAAAGTTGTACGAGTTACGAGCAAACCGATTGGTTCGCCACTCGAGCGGTTTCGAGAAGTTGACTAAACGTTTGTTGTCGGATATACTTTAACTACGATGAATTCCTGTTTTCAATATATACGAGATGCTCTGAAAATTTTAACGATAGTTTCGTTATCAGAACGATTGATATCATTGATAATAAAAAAATCAATCGGTTCTTACCGGAACATCGATTTTTAAAAAAATATAAACGTAAGATCGTTTTATGAAATATGATTAAGAATAATCATATCTGAAAGATCTGGAATTAGATTAATACTGATAATTACATATTATGAATTTTATTCGGTTATATCTAAAAATATCTATTGCCAGTTTTAAGCAAGTTCATTTTCTTGTGATCGATAATTATTTATTGAAGTACCGAACACTAACTATAGGTATTTTATTTTTATAAGAATAATTTAATATAGGAATGTTTAAATATGATAAAAGTTTTATCATTCATTCTGGCTGGATGTAAAATTTATGAATTCTTTTTATAAAACAATTTGACAAAGAATTTGAAAGATAAAATATATAGAATGGAAGAAATAAATTTCTAAAGCTTTCACATGTTATTATTGTTTTATCTATCTATCTATTTGTTCTTATATCGTATTCATATTAATGATCAAAAATGTTTGTTTTATTATTTTTTTTCTTTGTTTTTTTTTTCTTTTTCTTCTTTTTTTTTGTTTCCACTGGATATCGAAGTTACAAAGAGGAAACGAATTCGAATAAGTTGTCAACTTACGCTCGGTGTAACTTCAAAGAGAGAAAAAGGGAGAAAAAGATAGATAGATAGATAGATAGATAGATAGATAGATATATAGAGAAAGAGAGAGAGAGAGAGAGAGATAAATAAGGATGCGTTTACCAGAAGGCGAGCTGTTCTTTCGGAAACAATGTGAATCCCAGATTTTACACATTCCGTATTTTCCGCACGATTACCTATACGGATGCGGCGCATTCGTTTCGCACGCGTAATTATCCGCCCACTTTGGCACAAGGCAGCCACGATAAGGTGTATCCGTAAGATCGTAATTTCACAGTAAAAAGAAGAGAGATTTGAATCTTTCGTAAAAAAAAAAAAAAAAAAAGAAAACGAAAAAAAAGAAAGAAGAAAAAGAGCTGAACGAAAAAAATTTATCGACAAATACGAATAAATAGATTTGAATTCGATCGTGGAGTTATTCTATTTTTTCTTTTTTAATTTTTTAAGAAAATCTTTTCTTCTTGTTTCCGAAGATACTCACCGGGTTGTTCAATTTTTGTTAAAGCAAACAAAAAAAAAAAAAGAAAAAGAAAAAAAAAGAAATGAAAAAATACGGGAACACAATGGGTTCTATGTTACGGTTGCATGGAGTCGTAAATCTTCAAGCTAGCGTTAATGCCTCGACAAAGAAAAGCTCGAGCATGTAGAGCTTACTACTACTCGGTGAGACATACCCCGAAGAGAATGACACTAAGGGTAGTGGTAGTGGTAATAGTAATAGTAGTAGTAGTAGTAGTAGCAGTTGCTTGCGGTTGTGTAGTGGTGGTAATCGCGTGGCGTTGCCAACTCGGAGATATTTTCCGAGTCGTTTGTCTCCCTTGACGCGAGTTAAGTGGAAACTCTTCCTTATAAGCGATATACGCAAAACCCTTTAGAATTCTTTCCTTCTTTCTTTTTTTTTTCTTCCTTTTCCTTCTTCTTTTTATCTTTATCTTTCTACTCGTTTCTGCCAAAAAATAAAAAGAAACGCGAGCGAGTAGAAGTGGGATATCATTGCCGATGATACTGAAATACTTATCCCTCTTCCCTTTCCTATCCCACATACGATCTGAACGAATCTTTGTTCTTACCTTTTTAATTCGATCGATTTAATGTAATAGAAAGAAGAAGAAAAAAAAATAGTATTTAATATAGAATATCCTTTAGGATTTTTATTAAAGGCATTTATTAAAAGGAATCATCTAACGGAAGACAATTTATATCGTCGATGGTAACCTCGATAATTAATTAGGTCGATTAAGTTATGCAGCTGATTCTCTATAGTCTATTTCACAGCTTTTAGATATAAGTATTACCTTCAAAGGTGGCCTCGTGGTATCCTTCCTGAGTTCAGCGTAACGTGCCTCGAAACTATCGTCCCAATATTCTCGACTTCGCATCCAAGATGGCTGAAAAAAAATAAAGAAAATTCGTCAGCCTTCGTTCTTAAATTTTATTAAAAAAAAAAAGGAACGAAAATGTTTACACACACACACACATGCACATATATACATATATATATATATATATATATATATATATATATATATATGTATATATAAAATTTACTTTGCACGTATGTTAAGTAAATTTGTTCTCTCTTTCTTGTTTCATCTTTCACTTCGAGCTTCTTTCTCAAATATAACCATTCATGTATAAGAACGGTAAGAAATTCTGTGGTTTATCCTTTCGATAAAAATCTAATAAATTTCGAGACTTTATTCTCCTAATTTAGAAAAATCAGTTTCGATGTTTTATGATGTGGATTTTTATGGACTTGGTCGACGCAGAGACTCGAAATGAATTTTTACGATCTTACTAACTTCTTCTTCTTCTTCTTCTTCCTGCTACTATCGTACAAGCTTGTTTTCGAGCGAAAGAAAAATCGTTCCAGATAAAAAGATAAAGGGAGAGAAAGAGAGAGGGGAGAGAGAGAGAGATAGGGGCCAAGAGTTCGTTAAACTCATTAAAGCGTGTCACTAGATTTCCGCGAACTCTCGTGCGAATTAAGCAATGAATGTAAACTAGTCAATTAACGTTGGTAATTAATTTACTTAGAAGTTTATTCCCCTGGTCGTACTTTCCTCTCTCTCTCTCTCTCTCATTCTCTCTCTTTTTCTTTCTTTCTCTCTCTCTCTCTCTCTCTCTCTTTCTCTCTCTCTCTCGCTCTCTCTCTCTCTCTGTCTATAGTTCGTGAAACGGATAACATAGTCTCAGGATTTGTACGATGGCTTTTCCGGGATTCGATTTTTTTGTTTTTATTTTCGTGGTAGAAAAACTCATTTTAGCCAACAAATTAAACGTAAAACTAACATACAACATCAATGTCGTATTGACGTTTACGTTTCAGTACGTTTACGAATACGTTACTTTTGTTTATTCAACCATATTTATCGTGTAGTTAATCACCCATTGCTCTGGCAATTTATTAACGGACGAGCGTGAAGAACTTGTCGAAATAAATTTACAATAGACTGATAGGTAGTTGAAATCATTTTTACTAAAATGTTACGGTCAGTTCGAAAAGAGAATTTTTAAAAGTATAGATATGATTGATATATTGAAAACATTTTTTTTTTTTTTTTTTAAAGAAAGAAAAAAAGAAAAAAGAACGTGGACATGTAATAAAACATTTAGTGGGACGATGTGCTGCGACAGAATTTTTATATCTCGATTCCAGAGTTTAATTTTTATTGATAAGTTTTGTTTCTTCTTGTCAATGTGTCTTACTGATAATACTATTTTTTTTTTAAGTTAATCATGAGTGAACATGAACCTATTTTAGAATGTTTACAATTAGTTTGTTCAGTAATATTGTAACTTCAGGTTTGTGTTTTAACTGCCATCAGTATTAATGTTCATTTACTTAAACGAGGAATGTTTTGATGTAGATAGCTTATGATGTTGATTGTAATAATACTTGAGATTAACTTAAAAGTTTTTGAAAGAGTAACTTTAGTCTCGTGCAATAAATCACCTTCTTTCCATCTTTTTTTTTTCTTCTTTCTCTTTTAGATACACGATAGAGAATTGTTGATTCACATTCCACATATTATCGATTACGTATAACCATCAAATGATTGTGGTTTGCATATTAAATATATATAATATAGTATAAGTCTAGAAATTTATGTATGTTATTATTAATAAAAATTTACTGTAGTAAAATATAAAATAATATGTATAAAATATACTTATACAAGAGCTGTAGGTGTATGAGCATGTGTAAATACGAACGTGTATGAGTTTGGATAGATGGATTCGGAAAATATGGAAAAAATGCGTAATGTGAGAAGATTAGTATGATTCGTTGCAACAAGAGAACGAAAAAGAGAGAGAGAGAGAGAGAGAAATAACAGATGTAAAAGTGAAAGAAGGGTGAAGAGAGAAAACCAATCATCTATTTTTATAATAAACTGTTAACTATTACAATTTACTTTTTAAATTTATCTAAAATTTAGATTACATGGATCAAATTATAATTTGACAATTGTTCGTTCAAGATCTTAGATAGAATGGTTAAAGCTCGTTCATCGGTTTGAATATTACAAATGAATCGTTCGACGTGGAAAGCACATAATCGTGGAAAAAGGTTCGAGAAAAAAGATTCGTAAACTCTGAGAAAGATAAATTGAGAGCATGAAGAAGGAAAGAGAGAGAGATGAAAAAAAGGAAAGCATGGTTGGATCGTCGTTTATACGATTCGATACGGTTTAACGCTTCCCTCGAGGGGAAAAAGGACGAGGGTGCTACCAAAATCAGGATCTCTCTCAATCCCGTCGTACTATTTTCTCCCTCTTATTCTTTCTTTCCTTTTCCTTCATTCTTTCTTCTTTCCTTCCTTTCTTTCTTTCTTTCTTTCATTCATTCTTTCTTTCTTTCTTTTTCAACGAGATATCATCGAATAATCCCAAGGAGCTTGACCAACCCCTACGAAGGAATTTTTTCTCGATACTTGGTGAAGGAATCCCCTTCTACTTTCGCTTCGCCGAACTTTTGTCTTTTCTACGATATTTTTTTCAACCCATCAAAATTGCTTCCATGATCTCATCCTTTATTCTCACCCCTTCCAAATTTCAACTCACTGCCCGTACACACACGTGCACAATGTTCAGGTTCGTTTATTTTATTATTCAAACAATAAAGTTTTTTTTGTTAGAACAAAATCCATTTTTATTCTTCCCATAGAATATTTTCAAAAGATATCGTTGTTTTTGCTTCGTGTGTTATTTTTCTTTTATTGCGTGCGTGTTTTATTTTTTTATTCTTTTCTTTTCTTTTTTTTTATTTATTTTAATAATCCTCAAAATTTTCGATTTTTGATAATAAAATGATAACTTCGTCGTTAAAATTCGTCATGAAAAAAAAGAATATAGCTTAATATCGAAACGATTAGATGGGTTCTTCGTTAATAATTTTGAAATATTATAATTGTTGAAAAATATTTTAATAATAATGATTGATAACGAGAGAAGAGAAAAGAGTAACGCAAAAACAGTGACGTTTCATCTTTTATACTTATAGCGAACTGGCACGAAAATGGAATTATACGATATAGGAGAATGAGAGCGAAAGAGAACAAGAGGAAGAGAGAGAGAGAGAGTGAGAGAGAGAGAGAGAGAGAATATATCTGGGAACATGGAGGCTACACACTGACGCGACGTTGCTGTTTCTGGTCCTGAGAATAGGAAGTAATGAGGTAAAACGAAATTGGAATTCACGGAGAATCCGATCCTCAGCTGGCTACTACACACGTTAAATCAACACAGAGAGAAATCCTTTACCGGTGTTCTCTCTCTCTATCTCTCTCTTCTTCTCTCTTTCCCTCTCCCTCCCTCTCTCTCTCTCTCTCACTTTCTATCTTTCTTCTTGTCAGATATATGTGAATCTATAGGGGAATGCACAATGTGTATATATGTTGGAGCCAGACAGAGAGATAAGAGAGTTAGATAGAGATAAAGAGATAGATAGAAATAGAGAGAAAGGGGGAGAGAGAGAGAGAGAGAGAGAGAGAGATATATATATATATATATATATATATATAGGTAAGCAGTTGTTTGAGTATCTTGAAATTTGAAGATCCTTTACGTTTTGCTTCATAGAAGTCTCAAGATAATAAACCTCGTATACTCTGTTACTTCCGATTATCGTTAAATTTTCACGGTGCATTCCCGCATCGAGCGGAATGTCTATATGCATATATAATTACATACCTATATTGAATTTGATATTTGTTTATAGATTTACGAAGAAATATCTCGCGATCGATGAAAGTACACGTGAAAATTTTTTGTTTACTCGTTTTTATACGTTATGAAGATCAACGTAGTTTTTGTTCTTTTTTTTTTTTTCTTTTTTCTTTCTTTTTTAAGTAGACACTTATAATTTCATAGTACAGTAATGATCGTTAGCGAATGGAAATTATATATAGTAAAAGAATTATTATTATGCACCGTTTACGAGATAATTGCTATCTTTGGTATTATTAAAGATGGTTTTTCATATTACAATTTGAAAATCGAAAAATCGTCAAAATATATGATACGATTGATTTTTAATTCATTAAAATAGACGAATGGAATGTAAAGTATGAATTACAGTACAGTATGAATCTCTTAGCTAATCGTTTACGTTACATAGCAAGAATTTTTTATCAGATATGATTATGATTGCAAATAAAAGAAGAATATATATAAATATGCAAAAAGAAAATTATATGTATACAAAAAAAAAAAAAGAAAAAGAAAAAAACAAACTATATTGATCTTCATAATTCGAAAAGGTCAAGAGTTAAAAAAAATCGTTACATACACTTTGGCAGTAGACTCGAAAAGAATTCACTTTTATTAGAATTTGTTAGGATTAGTAGAAATATATTTATAAGTTAATTGTTGTTAAATATATTTTTATTACCTTTAATCATTAAGAAAGAAAATCTCAGTCTCATTTTTTAACCTATTACGCGTAGAATAGAAAAATCAAAAATATATTGATATTTATTTCGATTTTTTTATAATATATAATTTCTATGTTATTTCAATTTTGATAATAATAATTAGCAAAATATTAGTTCAATCAAAAACAATCGATATTACAAATTTGTGTCATATCAGATAAATACGTCTATGAGCAGTCAGAATAAGATAGAAATATATATATATATATTTATTTTTTCACAAGATTTGACACGTTTGCTCTAATTTTGCTTCAATTTTCCTCCTTTATCTTTCATTTCATTCTCTTTTTTTTTCCTATCCATTTTCCCTTCTTTTTCATTAACGTCTACATTGAACTTAATCAGCTTTCCAACGAGATCCCCATTTGATGGGATTTGATTCGTGGCATATTACACCGTAATACATATTAGCCGGCTTTCACTCACCGCAAATATTACTTTCTACGAATTATT